GTGGAGCACTGGGTGTTATGCACAAACAATGAATCATAGAACACTGCATCAAAAACTAATGATGTAATGTATGGTGGTTAACATAACAATAAAAAAATTATTAAAAAAAGAATACATTTTCACTCTAAGTTTATAATACCTACAATTTTATTAAGACCTCATAGTGATCTCCTGAGGCTTAAAAAGTCAAGGATTTCAGAAATAAAATTGGATCATGAATTTTAAAAAAGTCTTTAACACTGAAGTAGAGTCATTTATTAGGAGGTTGAGATGGTTTAAAAATAATTGACAGTTTTACCAACCTAAAAATACATGTAATAACTTCCTTTTAATGCTTTGGGTCCAATTAATGATTAATCTTTGTTTTTGTTGTTGTTTATTACTAGGAAAACACTGTAATTCTGCAGCAACTACTCCCACTGCGGGCCAAAGTAGCCAAACTCCTCGGCTATAGCACACATGCTGACTTTGTCCTCGAAATGAACACTGCAAAGCGTACAAGCCATGTAACAGCCTTTCTAGGTGGGATCTTTTTTTAATCAGTTGTATATTTCCATTTTTCTTCTTCTTTGACTGTTTCACTGTATTTGCCTAAATGCATATGCTCTTGTTATGTATTTGTCCTGCATGATTTGTCACAATTGTAAGATAAACATGTATTTGGCTCTCTATGGGACATGGCAGTTTGGGAGGCAACCCCAGAGTGTGAGGTGAAGGCAACAGCCTGAGAAGCCCTCTAAAGAGAAAGAAGGAAACTTATGGAAGATACAAAGTGATCTAATTCTGATTAGGCCTGTGAGAGAGTAGGTGAGTACAGGCAGCCAAGAGGGCAACTCATATGGGAATATGCCAATTGTAAATTAAAATAAATTAGGGAGAATGTGAAATAGGCAAAATTAACCACAGTATATAAATTGTTGTATCCATCTAAAAAGTGGAATTCCTGTATCCAAATAGACATTCTTTATAGGAAGGGATTAGTGATAAACAAAACCCATGGCTGTTAAAGGTATTGAGCAGTTTTTAGTAATGGTGATCACAGGTTGCCTCTGATTTAATTTCTCTGGCTTTTTGAGGGGCCTGATCTCATTGAAGAATAATCATGGACATGAGATGGTTTCACTATTGTTTTGTTTCCTGAATTATAACATTCTGGAGTCAGAGTTCTCTGAGATAAACTTGAGCTTTGTTGATGGTGTGAGAAAGTTGTGGCTTGGTTTGGCTGGTGCTGAAAAAATAGGAGGGCAAAGAGCCACGAAATAAATTACCAGGAAGAGAACAGCAGGGCTGTCATAGTCGAGCCTGCTTTCCTTCCCTCCCTCCTTCCTTCCGCCCTTCCTTCCTCCTGGTTATCTGCATCAAGTACTACAAAGGAGGAAGCACCATGCTAAAACACTGGTATGTGTATGAATGTGCTTGCTCCCAAAAGCAATAAATCACGGACTTTTCCCACTTCCCGCACAGATGATTTAAGCCAGAAATTAAAACCATTGGGTGAGGCAGAGCGAGAGTTTATTTTGAATTTGAAGAAAAAGGAATGTGAAGAGAGAGGTTTTGAATATGATGGGAAAATCAATGCCTGGGACCTACATTACTACATGACTCAGACAGAAGAACTCAAGTACTCCATAGATCAAGAGATCCTCAAGGAATACTTCCCAATTGAAGTGGTCACTGAAGGCTTGCTGAACATCTACCAGGAGCTGTTGGGTCTTTCATTTGAGCAAGTGGCAGATGCTCACGTATGGAATAAAAGTGTGACGCTTTACACTGTGAAGGATAAAGCCACAGGAGAAGTTTTGGGACAGTTCTACCTGGACCTCTATCCAAGGTACTGAGAATCACATTGTGGGAAGGGACCTTAGGGCTGGGATTCCTACCCAGATTACGACTCTTGTCTGCCACAATTCTCATGTATGGTTCTTAGTGATGGGAGTAAAGATGTGGGCTCTGAAGCCAGAGTGTCTGGCTCCGTCACTTACTAGGCCACTTACTTAATGTTCCTGTGCCTCAGTTTCTTTACCTATATTATAGGTTCAGTAAAAGGGGAATATTAATTCTACCTGCTTTGTAGTGTTGTAAAGAGAAAACAGTTGGTTAATTATGTACAAAACATTAACTGGAGGACTACCCTGCTTATAGCAATTGCTTAATAAATGATTGCAGCCATCATCATCGTTATCATCATCTGGTGTGTGCACTGCATTTATTTAATTTAAAATTGGCCCCCCAAATATTTATTATTCAGGTAATCTGTCTGCCAGTACTCTTCAGTCTCTGGCCATTTCCCTGAGTCTGGCTGAGGGGCAGCACAATACAGTAGGAATAGCAAAATCTTTGTAGTCATTCAAATTGAGTTGGATGCCTAAGTGACTTAAAATCTTTGAGATTCTGTTTCCTCCTTGGTAGTATGGGACTGGTGATCCCTTCTTAGGATTGTTTTGTGCATTAGGCCATATATACATATCACCCAAGCTAGGTAGTCCATCATTGGTAAGAATTGAAAACATTATTGTCTCTGAAACATGTGGTAACTATGGACTCTATAGTGCTTCATCAGACACGAAAGGATTTGGATCACTTCCTCTCTAGGCTGTTTATAAAACAAAGCCAGCCTTTTACAATTACCGATTCATTTTACTAACTAGGCCAAAGGAAATTACAGTAACCCCCTACTTTTGTAGCACAAACAAGTTTTTAACCCACAGACTTGGGATGACTTTGGGTGGCTGCTGGGAAGGAGGTTGGATAACTGTGTCATCCAGACAGTGGACAATGGTGCCTTATTGCAATGTTTTATGGACTTACTTTCACTTTCGAAATGATCTAAAAATAAACCCTTGTCAAATGTAGATGGGTCTCTTTTTAATAAGAGTGTTAGCATACTGTGTTAAGCCAGAAATTCTTTCAGGGGAAATCCTTCAACCTTGGAGTCTTCTAGAACTGTCCCCAGATTCTACTTCCAGGGTCAAAGATAGCAGCTCTTGCCACCCCAGCCTGCTGTCTCCCTGCCAACATATAATTGGTTTCTTCTGTACTCTGAGATCTAGCCATTGCTACCAGCACTGGTATGGGAATCAGAAGCTGATCTCTTGTGAAAGTAGTGACCTACTTAATATTCACTTCCTGTCACCTTCCTGTCACTTCCTAAAAGTGAGGTGGAGTAACTTGTTTTTTCTTAGCGACTCAAAAAAGGATATTTGGAGTACGTTTAAGAAAAACCAGTTACTTTTTTCTTTTAATCACATTTCAGTATTTATTCATTGAATACTGAGATTCTCAAACAAAACAAAACCAAAAATACTCTGATGGTTCCAACATAAGATGCTTGATAGGGACATTTTTATTTTTTATTTATTATTATTTTTTTAATTTACATTTATTTTATGCAGAATTTACTTCTGGGACATAAGTTTTTGTTTCTTCAGTTTCTTCTGGGATATCTTTTTCTTCTGTGCAACGTCCTGTTCTGGTTTAGGAACAGTCTGCTCTTTTTCAGTCAGGACCCTCTCAGTGTGGCAGGGAACACTCATGTATGGGTTAATCTGACCATGAGCCCTGTATGTTCTATGCCACATCCAGGGGGCTTTGTTCACCAGAGAATCTACATTTAAACCCTTAGGGTACAGCATTACTCTCTACATTTTTAAGCATGTGCAGTAAAAATTCAGTCTTCTTGGGTCATCGACCCTGTGTCCAGCCCCACTGTTTGGCCTGGGCACACCTCCCAACTCCACCATTGTGGAGACAGAATGGCACACACTGCTTCTGCAAAGTGGCATCCTTCAGATACTTGGGGGCTTTTTGGATCTGCAGACGCTTGATGACCTGGGCAGTTTCACGTGTGTTCTTAAAGTGAACATGCAGATTTGAACCTCTTGATTTGCATGATTTTGTAGGGTTTTCTGGGTCAAGTGAATAAATAGCAAACCATTTTCAGAAATCATCTCAGGCTGCTTAGAGGAGGAGCGATAGGGACATTTTTAAAAATCACCATCATTTTATAGACAAAATGTGAAAAGGTAAAACGTCAGAATATAGAATCCTTTAAAATTAAATAAATCAAGTTTCTTCTTACAAGGAAAGATTAAAGACCCCTCAATGCCATTGATTTTTAAATCAGTAGAAAGTCTTTGATTTTAAGCTATTCTTTTTTTTTTTTAAGATTTTATTTATTTATTTGACAGAGAGCGTGAGCACAAGCAGGGGGAGCGGCAGGCAGAGGGCGAAGCAGGCTCCCCACTGAGCAGGGAGCCCGACGTGAGGCTCGTCCTGGGATCATGACCTGAGCTGAAGGCAGATGCCTAACGACTGAACCACTCAGGCGCCCCGATTTTAAGCTATTCTTAGACTTTAAAATTTCTCCAAATATCTCAGCCCTTGTCTGTCTAATACAGTAGCACCCGTATTATTCTCAAATGAAGAATATGCTTTTGGGGAAAAAAATACATTTTGGCCTTTCCTAATGTACTAAGAGGTATAAAATATAATAGGATAAACATGTCCAGATTACTTTAGTTTTCCCCTGTTAAAAATAAGGTTTATAGGGGCGCCTGGGTGGCTCAGTCGTTAAGCGTCTGCCTTCGGCTCAGGTCCTGGGATCGAGTCCCACATCAGGCTCCCTGCTCCGCGGGAAGCCTGCTTCTCCCTCTCCCACCCCTCCTGCTTGTGTTCCCTCTCTTGCTGTGTCTCTCTCTGTCAAATAAATAAAATCTTTAAAAAGAAATAAATAAATAAGGTTTATAGGTCTGTTTACACATTTACAACTAACTATATGAAATTGTTCTAGAAAGCACTGACTAGCCCATTGAACCACCGGAATCTGGGCTGGCTGAAAATATTATCACATTCCTGTATTGTGTCTGCTGTACCCGTTCATGGCTTCTGTCCCCTCCTTTGTCTGCCTTCCTTCCCATGTCCCTGCTCGGTGCTGACTTAGCCGGACTCAGCTGACTCAGGCCCACACTGTGTTCCTGTCCTTCCTTCAGAGGTAGAGGATTTTTTCTGTTCTTCTGGCCTCGGCAGTGGGTTTTCACCAGCGCTTTTAGGGCAGCAGAGTTCCTTGCCCTTTCTCCTGGAAGCAAGGCAATGCTCCATTCCTCCATCAAGGCAGCCGCTTCCTCTCCAGGCCTGCATCAGGACTGATGCTCTAGCAGGGTATCACCCTGCCACCATCTTTTTGTGTGCCCACAGCGAGGTTCAGGGAAAAGACCCTGCAAATGGCTGCACAGGGTCCTTATCTATAGCTCCCAGTGGCTCCCTGCTTTTGCTGGTCCACCACGGCCTTTATCAATGTGTTAAAAGACTTACTGGTTTCTGCAGTATTAGAAAAAAGTGCTTGCTTCCTCACTTCCTCTATCCCTGGAGGCATCTGTCTTAGATCATAAGTTAGTTGATTGCCTTCCCATTAGTGATGAATTCAAGAGAAGTTGTGACTTGGAGATTGTGTAGCATATTGCTGTGTGGATAGGAGCAATGCCCTTTCCAGCTCTATACCTCATCATAGGAAGCTGGAAAAAGCTAATTGTTGTTTTGGTTTTTTTTTTAACTTGAATAGCATCAACAGGGAAAACAGATTAATAAGGAGTCACAAAGAAAAGATAATATAAAAAATTTATATATCAGTCAAAATAAAAACTAAAAGTTCTACCCCCAAAACCTTAATATACTGTTAGTCTTCTGAGCAAAAAAAAAAAAAAACATTGAAACCTACTTCTAGAATAAAGTCCAATTGCACATAGCTTTTGGGGAGACCATCACTGATACCCCATTGTCCAAGAATAGATAACTTTATAGTGTAATTTATGCTTTTTCCCAAGCTAACTAAAAGCGTTCTGTTTCAAAAAGGCCTGACTAGTTTATAAATAAAGGAGCACACTTAATTGTGAATATTGATTCTTCCTTCCTTGAATAAAAGGAACAACCTTATTGTCTGGTATTTGGTTTTTATCAATTCTAATTTTAAGAAAAATCTGCTTAGTAAATCACACTATATCTCTTATCTCAAGTTTGCTTTAACACAGTTGTGTTTAGTGACACCATCTTTGAAGAAGAAAAGCAAGATCCCATCAAAGTAAACACTGGGCTCTGCACTAGGTGTGGTGTATATTCTTGATTCTAACATTAAGGTTTTTCCACAAAAGAAACCTTGGAGATAACACTCACGTGACGTGATAGTGGGGTTTTTGTTTGCTTAGTTTCAGTTTGTCCATTTTAATAAAATGTGGACCTACTTTCTCAAGGGTGGATTACATGTTTCAAAGTGTCCTCTGGTATCAAATAAGACTTCATGACTGAGAGAGGTCACAGCAGTGTTGTTGCTACGGAAGAGTGTTCCTATCTCACCAGTGATGCTTCTGGTTCCCAGGGAAGGAAAGTACAACCACGCAGCCTGCTTTGGTCTCCAGCCTGGCTGCCTCCTTCCTGATGGGAGCCGCATGATGTCGGTGGCCGCCCTCGTGGTGAACTTCTCGCAGCCAACAGCGGGCCGTCCCTCTCTCCTGAGGCACGATGAGGTGCGGACTTACTTCCATGAATTTGGTCATGTCATGCATCAGATTTGTGCACAGGTGAGTGATTTTTTTTTTTTTTTATCATAAACCTACCAATTGTTTTTCCGGCTTTTTATTTTTTCTACTGCTGTTAGGTTCCTCCCCTTAACATGTTTTTTCAGCTGAACATGCTCAAGAATCTCATAGGCCAGGCGCCTGGGTGGCTCAGTCAGTTTAGCGTCTGCCTTTGGCTCAGGTCATGATCTCAGGGTCCTGGGATCGAGCCCCTCGTCGGGCTCCCTGCTCAGCGAGGAGCCTGCTTCTCCCTCTCCCTCTGCCTGCCGCTCCCCCTGCTTGTACTCTCTCTCACTCCGTCAAATAAATAAATAAAAATCTTAAAAAAAAAAAAGAATCTCCTAGGCCTTCTGTAAAAACAAAATTTTTCTTACTGTGTCCTCTTATATAGCATATCTTTTACTCAGAGGTTAATCCACAGATGAAGGATCTTCATTGAATACCACCCTGTGGAAAAAGATGATTATCATTAAGGCGTACAGATAGTCTGTTTTTTCCTTTTTATTCTTTTCTTCTCCGTAGGAGTTTAGTGTAAGTTTCACAGATAAACTGTGCTGTTATCTGTCTCTTCCGCTTGTTTAGCTGAGTGGTTTTCAACTGTCCCAGACTCTACTTCTTTTTTAATAATAAATATGTTGAAACACCTCCCATGACTAGCCTCAAATTAAAATCGTAGGTAACATAGTATAACCATGTGGAGAATTTGCCAAAAAGGGCGTGTGCGTGTGTACAGTGGATTGCAACTGATTTCTCCACTTCTTAAAAGGAAAAGTACATTTTTTCTCAACTTCTTAATACAGTTCAGTAAACGAGGCCCACAATATTCAAGGATAAACCATATGAACTTGTTAATATTTAACTGTTATCTGACATAAGAAAACATCAAGTTAGTAGTTCAACCTAACAGTTTGGAAAACTGATATTAACAGAAATGGAGGAACAGTTTTCCAAATTTGAAATCTCTATACATCTCTAAAGGCAAACTTCTTAATAAGAAGCTTTTTTTTTTTTTTAAGATTTTATTTATTTGACAGAGAGCGTGAGCACAAGCAGGGGGAGCGGCAGGGAGAGGGAGAAGCAGGCTTCCCGCCGAGCAGGGAGCCCGATGCAGGGCTCGATCCCAGGACCCCGGGATCATGACCTGAGCCAAAGGCAGACGCTTAACGACTGAGCCACCCAGGTGCCCCAATAAAAGCTTTTTATTAGAATAGTTTTCAATTTACAGAAAAGGTGCAAAGATAGTACAAAAATTGCCCACATGCCCCTTACCCTGTTTCCTCTACTGTTAACATCTAGTATTACTATAATAGATTTGTCACAACCAAGAAGCCAATATTCCTACAGTACTCCTAACAAGACTCAGCACTTTATTTGGATTTTACTCATTTTTCCCTAACAGCCTTTCTCCATACAGAGAATTTTTTTTAGTTGATATAATGTCCTCACTGAATTATGTTTTCCAAATAGTGATGCCTGGACATGGCTCTGTAGTAAGACATGATGAAGTCTTCATTGTGAATAACCCTGAATCCAGCAGCAAAAACTACAGGCTGATAAATGTGGTTTGTGTTGTCAACTCAGGACCTAGACTAGTATTGCCAACTGTCTTGGTTCAGGTTGCTGTAGCAGAATATCATAGCCTGGGTGGCTTAGAAGCAACAGAAATTTATTTCTCAGCCAGTTCTGGAGGCTACAAGTCCAGGATCAAGGTGCTGGCAGATTTCGTATCTGGTAAGAACCTGCTTTCTGGTTCAGAGATGGAGCCTTCTCACTGTCGTTACATAGTGGAAGGGTGGGGGAGCTCCTTGGGTTCTCTCTTATAAGGACACTACTAATCCCATTCATGGAGGCTCTACCTTCATGACCTCGTTACTCCCAAAGGTCTCATCTCCTATTATCATATTGGGGATTAGGTTTCACCATAGGAATTGGGGGGAACAGAGACATTCCATATTGGTCTATAGCACCAGTGGTGACATGATTTTCCAAAATGGTGAACATTTCTTGGGAAACTTATGAAAAAGCAGTCTTGCTTTGACTTACATAGGTGATCTCAGTAGTTAAGTGTCCCGGAAATTGGGGCGCCTGGGTGGCTCAGTCAGTTAAGCATCTGCCTTCGGCTCAGGTCATGGTCCCAGGGTCCTGGGATTGAGTCCCACGTCGGGTTCTCTTCTCAGTGGGGAGCCTGCTTCTTCCTCTCCCTCTGCCTGCCGCTCTGCCTACTTGTGATCTCTCTCTCTCTCTCTCTCTGTCAAATAAATAAAGTCTTAAAAAAAAAAAGAGTCTTGAAAATTAAAAGTCGGTACAAAATACTTTACAGAAATATGTGAAGTGGAGTTAGTTTAAACCCGGGCTCACTTAATTATAGAATTTTCACTTATGTGAATGTCCAGTAGGACATATGAATGGTGTGCCGCATATGGGACATTTTTTTTTGTCCTGACATGTGCAGTTCAGTCCTGGACATCTAGCATCCCTGGACCTCAGAATATCCCCTAATCATCGTAATAACCAAAAATGTACCCACTCAATTCCAAAATATTACTGTCACTATTATTAAAAATCTGTTTAGTGGGGCACCTGGGTGGCTCAGTCGTTAAGCGTCTGCCTTCGGCTCAGGTCATGATCCCAGGGTCCTGGCACTGAGCCCCGCGTCGGGCTCCCTGCTCCATGGAAAGCCTGCTTCTCCCTCTCCCACTCCCCCTGCTTGTGTTCCCTCTCTCTTAAAAAAAAAAAAAAAAAAAAATCTGTTTAGTTCTTTCAAACATTTTATCTCTACATTCTGGTGTTTCCGTGTTTATTAAAAAAAAGGGGGGGAAATAAGATATGAATCTATTCAGATACAGAAGTCCTCATACACTGATAGAGCCATTTTTATCCTGTTTTTAATCTAAGGAAAAGAAATCTTCCAGAATAACCTAAATTTTCTTTCTTACATAGTTTTAAAGTACTTTCACAGCTATAGGGTTCCTGAAATATTTATTTTCAATCAGTGTCCATTCTATGGCTGTTCCCTTTTTTTTTTTTATTTTATTTATTTATTGGTCAGAGAGAGAGAGAGAGAGATAGCAAGCGTGCACAAGCAGGGGGAGCGGCAGGCAGAGGGAGAAGCAGGCTCCCCACTGAGCAGGGATCCCGATGCGGACTCGCTCCCAGGACCCTGAGATCATGACCTGAACCAAAGTCAGACGCTTAACCAACTGAGCTACACAGGCACCCCAGCTGTTTCCTTTATTTAGGATAAGTCTAGTTTCCATTTTTCTAAAATGTTTTTATGAGTAATTTAGAAAAGTCAAATACCTTTTTAAATTTTAGACTTTTAGAATATTACTTAGATTATCCAAGATCCAGTTATATATTTGTACATACATAAACTGTAGCCTGTTTTTAGAATAGTGGATCTTTTTTGGATATGAGGATTCTATGAAAATCTGATTTAAGCTGTGGATACCTCTTCTAGGAAAATGTACGTACACCTCATACGCTCAGATTTTTTTTTTTTTTAAGTTTCTTCTTCATTGTCTTCTCTTTCTCCTTTTTTTTTTTTAAGATTTTATTTATTTATTTGAGAGAGAGAGTGAGAAAGAGCACGAGAGGGAAGAGGGTCAGAGGGAGAAGCAGACTCCCCGCTGAGCAGGGAGCCCGATGCGGGACTCGATCCTAGGACTCCAGGATCATGACCTGAGCCGAAGGCAGTCGCTTAACCAGTTGAGCCACCCAGGCACCCTACACTCAGATTTTTACATGGGATTCCAAAGGGCTCACAGATTCCTTGAAGCCCAGACCATAATGAATTCCAAGTTAAGAACTCCCGGGTTATAGCAGTTTCCTCCTTATTTGTATATTGATTATCAGCTAATGATTTCATAAGAAAGTAACTTGGTGTCTTGATCACATTTATTAAAATAATAGTGATTCTCGGATCAGGTTTTCAGTGCTCTTCATGTGTGTTCTTGTTTTCAGACACAGTCCTCTTTGAACCTGAGTACCATATGCTTACCCTGTGCTCATAATGCATTTCTCTACCACTCTGTTATTCTCATGATCTTTTATGTTATTTTTGATCCTTTGAGATAGCCACTTTTAGTGCTGGGAAATAATGTTGCTGGTATTATGTCATTTTAGAGCTCTTTGACTCGGGACTGAAATATATAAACTATATGGAAATATATATACTTGATCAGTATATATACTGAAATACTGATGACAGTATTTTGGTGATGATAGTGTTGGTATATGGTGTCTCTGTCTTGAAACAGTGGACTATATTCAATTCTTAGAGTTTGCCTAACTTCCTTCATGAACACAGAATGTGTCATTTAGTTAAATAGTATGTAGTACAGTCCTTTGATTGGTCATCTGCTCCTGAGATTATCTTCGAAAAATCTCTTTTTGTCTATTAATTCTTTCAAATATACTGTAGTGTTTTAAGAATTTTTAAAGATATAAACATTGAATTACTATGTTGTATAGCTGAAACTAATATAATATTGTATGTCCACTACAGCTCAATTAAAAAAAATTTTTTTAAATGAACTTTTAAGTTAATCGTATATGGAACCAATAATCAATACTTTTGTCTCAAAAGTAATAGGCACAGAACCACTTTTTTGCAGCTTTATAATAATTTCAAAACCTCTTGTATTGACCTAAATTGGATGGTAGTGAATAAGGAGCGTAATAGCTTCTGTGTTTAGTAGTACTTCTGACTTCTTTGAGAAATACATAGTGAATTAAAAATTTGCCATACAGGGGCGCCTGGGTGGCTAGTCGGTTAAGTGTCTGACTCTTGATTTCGGGTCAGGTGATGATCTAAAGGTTGTTTGATCAAGCCCCACATCAGGCTTCACACTTGGGCAAGGAGCCTGCTTAAGATTCTCTCTCTCTCTCTTTCTCTAGTTAAAAAAGAATTGCCATACACATCCACTAGATTGATTTTAAGATATGGCAGCTCAGTGTTTGGGTTCCCCACTTTGGCATTGTGCAAGTGTGATGACCAGAAG